AGTGCTTAGAAAAAAAATACCAAAAAAAAAAAAAAAGCAAACCCAAGAAAGTTGCATAACCTTCCAAGAACCTTCCCCTGCATAAGTTTCCAGCTTGGTAGGCTAACATAAGAATAATACGTTGGTATGAATAAAAGAATTTTAATTTTTTTTTTAATTTAGATCTTGAGTTTAAATTTTATGAATGAAAAAATAAATATTGAGAAAGATTTTTTTTAATGGAGTTCGATGTAATTCGATTTTAAATTAATTAAAATTTAATGTGCTTATCGAATATTTAAAATTAATAAAAAAAAATCCACTGAGGGTAATCATACACATGAATTCATTTCAACAAATAACAAACTAAATAAGATGGAAATATGCTAAAAAAAAAAAGTGCTCACACTTTCGGGTTTCAACCGCGGCCATCCAATTTTGAACCGAGTATGTAGTTGTTTGGCACAATGGTTCACGCTCTCAGCTTAAGATTTTGGTAACTTCGAAGTCCTGATATAACGATAAGAAAACGAGTAGTACACGTTTAGTTTGATATATTTTTTAATATTTATTTAGATTAATTATTAAAAATATAATATAAATATAATTAATTTAATTAATTTTTATATCATGTATGTATAATAATATTTTTAAATTTATTTATTTTTAATTTTAATAAATAATAATTTTTTAATTAATATATTATATAATATATTAAATTAAAATATGTACTAACCATTTTACCTACTAATATCAACTCTTATTTGCTGTTCGGTCTACTCTTAATTAGTTGATTATCCCAAACACAATACCACTATGACTTCATTTGACCATGCTTTGTATAGACAATTTTTATACAGTATTTTATTTTAAAATATAAATGTATTATTCTTAATTGACTTTTTATATAATTTTATTCATTTTAATTAATATTTTATATTTTTTAATAATAAAAAATTTAAAAAAATTCTATATTTACAATACAACACAACAATGATAAACAAAAATCATCTTTAGTCTTGTTTGGGATTGCTAGATATGAGTTTTACACTTTTACCTTCTTTTGCTATTTTAAAAACTACATACATTGCAAAAAATCAAGATATCTTATTAATTAAAATATAAGAAAAAATCATAAAAATTTAAACACACTAAATGAATCAACATGCAAATAAGATTCAATTTAAATTATCCAAATATCTAATGATTTATTAAATTCAATTTAATTATAATAAAATCTATTTTTAATCATGTACTGTAAAAAAAGTGTAATATATATGTGTGTATACACTATGTATATATATGTATATGATATTAGTATTTATTAGTCAAATTTCTACAATTAAGAGAAAAAAATCTTAAAACTATGATGTTTTACTAAAAAATAAGGGAAAAAACCAAAATATTTATTCATACTTAAAAAATAAGTTATTTTGGTCTTTTTATTTCAATTTGAATAAAACAACATAATTTTAAAATATTTTTTCTTATTTTTTAAAAATCTAAGTGATAAAAACTTTTATTCTATATATATAAATATTTTACAAGTTTTTCTAAATTTTTTTGGAGAGTCTATTTAAAAACTCATTTTTAATTAATATTTTTAAAATTTTAATCGTTAGATTAAAATTTTTCTTTAGAGAGATCATGCATGTTAATTTTTAAATTAATCTAAGAGGTTAAATCAATTCGTTGATTATATATAAAAAATTTAATATTGTTAAATATACATTAATAAATAGAATTTATTTAATTAAAATATTATAAATATTAAATTAACATGAAAATTAATATATATGAAGTATATAAATAAAAATTTTAATTTAACATATGATTTTTAAACATATTAATTTAAAAGTAAATTTTTAAACAAATTTTTCAAAAATTTTTTTTTGAAAAATAACTTATAATATACTAACACATATGTCTATAAAAGATAATATTTTATTATTTAAACTATGAAACACTAATACATAGTGAGAAAACCCTCGCCCATTATGGGTGGTGCTCTCAATGAAGAATAATAAACTCTCATCCTTTGACCGGAATTGATGATGAATGAGGATATCCACCGAAACGCAAACTAATTTTGTCCCAATTCGTTAGCATCTCGTTTGGATTTTCCATGTGATTGTGACTTTGTGCTGTGTGTCCTCGTCAACTCCATCGTCTAATGGAGAAGATGTGGCTGTCACATTTTAGCCAATTGCACATGCAATTAAATTATAGATGCGAGTTTTTTTAAACCGGATTGTTGTAAGTTAAAAGATGTATTTTTTATATATTTTAATAGTTAATTATTATAACTATCGCACCTGGCCCTTGAGGCCTAGTGGCAATAGCCATGCATTCCCTCCTCCCCGGGTTGGGTTCGAAACCCGTCCCTTGCAAATATGTTCAAAAAAATATATATATTATAACTATCGATTTAAATAATTTAGTAATAACTTTTTTTTATTAGAAGTAAAAGATTTTAAATTCGAGTCGCTTGGTATGTGAATGAGGTAAAATAAAATATTAAAGATGATTAACTCTTATTGTGCAACAAAAATTAAAAAAAAAATAATTATTATAAAAATATAAAGATAAATAAAAATTTAAAATTAGTATTATTAAAAAAGTTAATTTGCATGACGTTAAATAAAATTATAATTAATTTTTATTTTTTATATAAATTATTTATGAAAAAAATACAATAAATATACTATAAAAACAAGGAATGGGAAAACCCTTAAAAGATTTCATTCCAAGTTGCTGGCAGATATACATCACTTTAATTGTTGAGCAGGATGGTGAGAACTGCAGTCCAAATGCGTAGCACACTTTGACTTGGAATATGGGGTGCCAAAGTTGAATTTTAAAAAATGGTTGTGATGTGAATAGGAAAGTGGGAATTGGAGAATTATTGGATTTGAAATAGGCCGAAGCCGTATTTGCACCCTCAATTTATTTCTTTTTCACGGTCAACACCTTTCAGAATTTTTCTTTCTTATTCACATTTTTCATTTTTCAAAATCCGTGAAAAACTTAATATTTTAACGGACTGTCACGGCACCGTTAAAAAATACATTACGTGGCACTTAAAAATTGACGTGGCACATGCGGCATTTCTTTATTCATTAGTTTTAGATGTGGATATGTTTTTTTATGACGTAGCTTCTTTTTTACATACGTGGACACCACATGTGCAATGGGACCCACTGCATGGTTTTCCGCTTGTCCCCCACGTCCCCCACCAAAAAAAAAAAAAAAAAATTTTTGGAACCCAAAGCTGGGTTTCCTGTGAGGAACCCGATCTGGGTTCCTCGTCCCCAGATCGGGTTCGAGCTGGGTTCCTCCGAAAGAACCCATGAGGAACCCGACTCTGGGTTCCTCGTCGTGAGGAACCCAGATCGGGTTCCTCACAAGGAACCCAACTCTGGGTTCGGCGAGGAACCCAGATTGGGTTCTTCACCAGGAACCTAGAGGGTTCGAGCTGGGTTCTTGGTGAGGAACCCGACTCTGGGTTCCTGACTTTGGGTTCCTCGTCGTGAGGAACCCAGATCGGGTTCCTCACAAGGAACCCAGCTCTGGGTTCGGGAACCCAACTCTGGGTTCCGGAACCCAGAGCTCCTGTTCTAAATTTTTTTATTTTTTTAATTTTTTTATTTAAATAAGCTACATCATAAAAAAAAAACATCCACATTAGATTACTAACGGCACATAGTGACCACGTCGATTTTTGAGTGCCACGTAGTACATTTTGTAATGGTACCGTGATGGCGCGTTAAAATGTTGGGTTTTTTACGAGTTTTGAAAAGTTAAAGGTGTAAATAGAGAGGAAAAATTCTAAAAAGTGTTGACCGTAAAAAAGAAATAGATGGAGGGTGCAAATAGGGTCTTTAGCCTTTTAAATATGTATAAGTTATCTTCAAGACCCTTTTATTGTAAATAGATTATTGCTTTTTTTGAAATTTGGTTATA